AAGATGTGATCGTTGGCATGTCTAATGACAGCTGGGGAATTGGAAGGCAAAAATTGTGCATTACAAGGAGAGAATTTAACACAGGATTTTTCTGCACTAGTTTATTATTTCCACCCCACCTCCCGAATACTTGTTACCTTGGCCATTGAGGTCGTTGTCTTGGAAAACTTTCCTCACTTGATGTTAAAGTGCTCTGAACACTGTATTTAGATGGGGGAGGGTGAGGCGGGGGAGAACTCCCGCAGAAGCCTGACCTCAGAAGGTCAAGAATCTGGAAGCCTGGGAGAGATGAGATCTGTCAACGAAACGCTTTGTGTTGGTGTGGGGTGTGTAGGAGGCTGTGCTCTTGTTCTCGAGATGCTATCACGGGTGATGCTGGAGGAATGATCTCACCCAGCCCAAGGTCATTCCCTTCCAAGTGTGCTCATTCCACCAGCAAGCAAGTCCTGTACCAGCCGGGGCGGGCATGACGCAGAGTCCGGCACTTTCCCTTGCCACACCAGTTTGAGGTCTAATCTCCATAGGGGGATGCTGTCGGAGGCAGTGGGGAAGACAGTCTTCGTATGATTTCTGTGCCTTTACACTGAGGTCCACTCTGTGCCACCACGTGCTTCCAGGTCCTCGGCTTTATGTGTATCATCTTATTTAATACTTCTCAGGAATCCTCCAGGTCCTATTAGCACCTTTACTGAGTTCTTAGATGCTTTCTTTGTATTGCTACTACTACTACTACTACTACTACTACTACTACTACTACTACTACTATTTGGTTTTTCAAGACAGGCTTTCTCTGTGTAGCTTTGCACCTTTTCTGGAACTCACTCTGTAGCCCAGGCTGGCCTTGAACTCACAGAGATCCGCCTGCCTCTGCCTCCCGAGTGCTGGGATTAAAAGTGTGCGCCACCATGCCCAGTTGTATTTTATTATTAAGTATACCATTGAGAAAGAATCTTTTTTAGAGTGGTTTGTATATAGACATGAGAGAAGTGGTGTAGTGTTTGACTGAATACTAGAGCAGAGAAGTGTATAGAGAATCCCATAACAAGTTCAAAGTCCTGACTGCAAGGTCGGGAAGAAGCAGGTTGAACAAAGAGCATGGCTGACTGCTTTGATTTTAACACTTTGGACTTAAATAGCAGCTACGTATCCAGGGGTGGATCTCTTACACTTAGACATCCTGAGCGAGATTTGGAGATTATGAGTCTTAAAAGGGTGGATTTTTGTCCTTTTCTGATATTTCTTTTGGGAAGCTGAGCAGTTTTTAGACCACCCACTCCAAAATAATTCTTAGACTAACATTAAAAAAATATGCAATGGATTATCATGTGTACTTCTTACACTCACTTCCAAGTTTATTTTTTTGTGACTATTTCTAGGTTAAAAACAGTCCCTTCCCCCCAGTGCAGTCCACTGAGTTTTAATAATTGCGCTCCTTATCCTATCTCAAGATACAAGGGTGATTCATTTCTGTGCTATTTAATACCAGCCAACCCTTTCTCGGGAATAGTCAAAATACAAATAAAAGTTCTTCAAAAGTAACCCTAAGGCAAGAGCTGGGCTGTTTCAATGTGTGAGGTAAGCAGCAACCCTTTCGTAAATGTTCTAACTTGCTGAACAGTATGTATTTCCAAGTTAGAAACCTACGGGGCCTGTTAAGCAATCTTTGAGAGAGAGAGAGAGAGAGAGAGAGAGAGAGAGAGAGAGAGAGAGAGAGAGAGAGAGAAATGAACACCACCCTAGAAAATATGAGATCTGCAAAATTCTTTCTGCCACAAAGACTCCAGGAACTCCAGCATCCTCTACGGGTGATGGTTTTGCAAGCGTCTCCATAGGGACACAGAGATGAATGATCATGAACCTGGGCATGCAAGGAGCACAAAATATTCACTCAGGCGCAACAAGAGGCTGGCAGATGGAGGGCCTGGGGGAGTGGTGGGTTTAAACTTGGTCTTAGATGATTAAGTAGGGCAGCAAGGCTGGAGACAAGGAATGCACCTTAGATAAAGTAGAACAGTTTATTATTAGTCTATATTGACTGGCGTTGAAATGAAGGCATTGGGGTCTCATGGCAGTGTGATGTTATAACACGCTGGGACGCTTTCTAAAGGAAGCCATCAAAACCTGGGCAGAGGAGTAATTTCCTTTGCATATTATTCCGGGAACAATGACCAGATATGTCACTCAGTACTCTACGCTTTCCACCCTTGGCAGGCAGGCTCTAGTGGCTGCATTATCAAGAGTCTTCATCCTTTGATATGGCCAGTGGGGTAAACCACAGAGATGGAGATCGTTTTCTGGGTTCCTTCCTAGGGTCATTTTGGGCTGCTGCAGCCCATCTAAGAATTTCAAAGCTTCTCTCTGGCTTTGCATTTTGGTAACTTGTCTTGCTCCTCTTCTGGCCGGGCTCAGGAGTAATAACCTAGGTTTGCCCGCATTCTACCCTAACATGTCTAACCCTTCCTTAAGTTATACTGGAGTGGGCAGTCTATCAGCAGGCCTGGTTCAAAGGAGGACTGGGCATCTCTCTATTTCAGTCATGCAAGTAGCACTGAGTAAGATGTAGGGTCCAACCCTCTAGGGGGATAATCGGATACCTGATCTAAGTAGTCAGATACTCATTTTTGAGACTCTGAATTCAAAAACATCCCATGAACTGTGGAAAAGAGGATAGAAAGAATGTAAGGGCTGGATGACAGGTTGGTGTGTTGCAGAACAATGTCTTCCAGGACATGGGGCTACGGCATTCCTGGACTCACAGCAGCTGAGATGATCTGCAAAAGAGTTAGCCAATCAATACCCAGTCACAGGAAGAGGGAATGACTCCTGTGGTCTTATCCCTCCCTAAGGATCTGAAAGTGTTAATGTGCTGTGGATATCGTTCTGTATACATAAAACACTGATTGGCCAGTGGCCAGGCAGGAAGTAGGAGGGACAAGGAGAAGAGAATTCTGGGAAGTGGAAGGTTGAGGAGGGGAGACACTGCCAGCTGCCACCGTGACAAGCAGCATGTGAAGACGCCGGTAAGCCATGTGGCAAGGTATAGATTTATAGAAATGGATTAATATAAGATATAAGAACAGTTAGCAAGAAGCCTGCCACGGCCATACAGTCTGTAAGCAATGTAAGTCTCTGTGTTTACTTGGTTGGGTCTGAGCGGCTGTGGGACTGGTGGGTTAGAGAGATTTATCTTGACTGTGGGCCAGGCAGGAGCAGAAAAACTCTAGCTACATTAATGGTGGCTGATAGAGGGAGAAACATTTTCTTCATTAGTGTAGCCATTGCTAAGTCTCTCATACTCCTGTGAGCAACTCTAGTAAAACTCACTGGGACACACACAGAAGCACACACAGAGGCACATGCACACACACACACACACACACACACACACACACACACACACACAGAGAGAGATGAAAGTAGAAGAGGGATGGACTTAGTTGGGAAGAGGCTACGGGGTGAATATGATCAAAACACATGCACATGTATGAAATGTCATAATGAAATGTAGGCTGAACTTTCTGTCCCACTGAGGTCCTGCAGCGGCTTACAAAATAGTCATGCTGAGGCGTAATTACAAACTGTATGGCCTATGGCTCAGGCTTCTTGCTAGCTAGGTCTTACAACCTAAGTCAACCCATTCCTATTCATCTATGTTTTGCCACGTGGCTTCGTGGCATTACCTGTTCTCTCGCATCTTCCTCCTCCTGGTGGCAGCTTGCAGCGCCTCCCTGATCCCACCTTTCTTCTCTATCTCTCTTGGATTTCCTGCCAGGCTCCATTCTCCCTTGCCATAGGCCACAGCAGCTTCTTTACTAACCAATGGTAGCAGCACATATTCACAGCATACAGAAAGACATCCCACAGCAATAAAACCTGTTATTTTGTATAATTAATACATGATAATAAAAACATTAAAAGAAGAAACTCCATGGTCTGGTGTGGTGGCTCGTATCTGTAATCCCTGCACTCGGGAGCATGAGGAATCCGGATGGCTAAGAGTCCCGGGTCAAACTCAGTGAGAGAAGGAGACCCTGTCTCAAACACCAAAGCAACAAAGACTAAGGAAGGAAGAAGGAAAGAAATTCCCCAGATGGGTAGGAGGAGAAGAACTTAGGAACCGGATTCATTTTTGTCCTCTAAGTGGGCTGAACAACAGCAAAGTGAGATGGTCTGGAGAAATCCCCTTGTTGAAGTTGTCCAAATTTAGGATGCCTTTCGGTCCTTTGATCCAGCCCCTCCTGAGCACTTGGTAAATTCTTAGGTCCGGTACCACCCAGTAACTGTTTTCTCACAATGAACAACACATATACACACCCACACAGCTTGTCTGTTCTTCTAACCATATTGAAAGTATTCTGGTAGCAGCAGCCGGAGTTTTAATGAGTGCACATAACCCCGGTGGCCACTCCTGAACTATACTTGCTGTGTCCGGACTTCCCACAACGTATCCTGCTCAATTCTCTCAACTAGTGTAAGAAATTTCTTCTGACTCATTTCATGTTGGCATAAAATTGCCTACCAGTAAATCTCTTTAAGTATCTCTCATTTTTTATGGGTATTTCCAAATGGGTGTTGATAGTTTCTCGCAAACTAATGACAACCTCACCCTATTCTTTTTGTTCATTGATTACTTTACCTGTAAATAGTACAGTACACCACAAAAATGATAATATCTACATTCAAATATCTACTGCCTGGAGATGCTTCAAAATGTTTTGGTTCTTGGGTGTTCAGACACCCCTGATCTTGATGAAGAGATAAGGAGTGTGTTTCATTTCTCATCCTGTGCCATAGAACTATTTAGCAATTCTCCATGTAGCTAAAGTTTATATAACGTCTTCTGATGAGATTTATGAGTTACAGGCAGAGCTTCTCAGCCATGCTCCATGGTACATTAATGTGCCACTAACTTTACAGGGGCACCTTGGCTCTTGGGGCAATCTGATGGATACTGGGTACCTGGAGTCCTGTCATCTGTTTATAAGTCATCTTATTTCATTAGTTCTAGCCTGGCCTACATATACTATCGTTTTCTATAAGGACAACGTCATGGGAGAGAACTTAGTGACTTACAATACACACAGTTCCCTCTTCAGTGCCAAAAGGACAAATCATGGTAGGTACTGTGATATTACTTGCATAATTGTCCTTTCCTGTTTTCTGTTGAATGGAGGTTCTGTGTGTGTGTGTGTGTGTGTGTGTACATGAGTGCGCATGTGAAAATATATTTTCTGGATGTTGTTTGTGAGATCCCCCAAATACCCTCACATACACATGTATGTGTGTATGTACACACACACACACACACACACACACACACACACACACACACATTTCCACAATCTTTGCTACAAGGATTCAGTTTTGGAGAGACTTGGGAGTTAGGATGTCTATCTGAGATCACACACTAATTGCCAGAGCTGTGATCTCAAATAGGCCCTTTGTCTCCAGAGTCCTGAGTTGTTTTGCTTTGTTTTGTTTTTCTAGTCAAGTTGGGAAAACTGGGATGATAGACCTGTCTGAGGTGAGAGTCCCACTTTGCCCTCACTGGCTGTGTGGCTTCCACTGTGTCCTCTGTAAAATAGAATTGATATGCTTTCATATATACCCAAGCCAGTTGCCTAGCATGGAGTAAAGGCCCACAATATAGTTAAAAAAAAATCTTCTCTCTTCCCACCCCAAACTTCATAGCATCCTGTACTTGGAGCTCAAACCCAGAGTATCATTTAAAAAACATTTCTAAATGCAGAGCTGAGGGGGTGGCTCAGTGGTTAAGAGGCCTGCCGAGCAAAGGAGGACGAGAGTTTGGATGCCCAGTGCCCACATCAAAGCAGGGAGTCGGGGCAGATCCCTGTGATGCCAGAGCCAGGAGTGGAAAAGGCCGAGAGAGGAGGAGCCCAGGGGTGTGTGGGCCAGTCTGACTTCCTGAAAATGTGAGGCTTGGGTTCACTGAGAGATTGAACAAGATGAAGAGCTATAGAGGAAAATAGCTGTGCTAACCTTAAGTCTCCACAGTCAGTCTCTCTCTCTCTCCCTCTCTCTCTCTCTCTCTCTCTCTCTCTCTCTCTCTCTCTCTCTCACACACACACACACACACACACACACACACACACACACACACACACTCCAACCCACAATGCTACGTAAGGAAACCATTTCTAAGTGCACGGACATAGACTAAATGCTCAGAAAGTATGTGTTAGATGAATGGAGGAAATTGCTTTACTGTTTCTGGCTTATTCAAAATCCTAACTTCAGTTTCCTCCAAGCATTGGGAAGTGAATATAAAAACATAATGTGACTCGACAGGCATAGCAGCCAGGTGTGGTGGCACTCGCCTTAAATTCCAACACTAGTTAACCATGGAGGTCTGGAGGTCTGTACAGACAGACAGGAAGTGACAGAGCTGGGCAGGAAGAGGAAGTGATGTAGCTGGACAGAGAGAGCAAATCAGATGGCAGAACAGTAAGGCATATAGGGCAGACAGGAAGTAGCTCACCTTTGGAAGTTGCCGAGTTAGTGAGGGGAGGGGAGGTGTGGCTTTCCTTACTTCCTTGATCTCTCAGGTTTTCACCCCTATATCTGGCTCTGTGTTTTTTATTTAATAAGACCATTTAGAAATTCTTCCACAAATCAGTAGAATGGGACTCTGATTACTATATAATTGATGCTCAACATTTCTCCAGTTCAAGGCTATCTGGTATAAGCCAGCATGGATATGAAGAAGCAGCTTGAAGTAGAAGTGAATTTTCTTCTACTATGTCCACAAGAAAATGTCTCTTTCATCTCCCCAGACTTCCCAAGTGCTTGGGCTGTTATATCAAAGATGGAAAAGAGCAAGGCATAACTCACCTGAGAATTCTAGGGGATGTTATCTGTGTGAGCCCTCCCAACAGAAGCATAAAAGAGTTTCTTACCATTGATGCTATGCAATAATTCTGAACATTGACTGGGCTCATTTAGGAAGTTCACGCTTAGAGCCTGGGTTTATCTCACAGGCTTTCTCATCAGGTGGCTATCAGCTAGATCCGAGACATACCTGTACATCACACCATCTACACAGAATCCTGTTCCAAGAGTAAGTGCTTCAAGAGCTTGACACTGGAAGAGTGGTGTGTGTGTGTGAGTGTGTGTGTGTGTGTGTGTGTGTGTGTGTGTGTG